CACCCATCCATCCATCTTATCTATCCATCTACTCTATCTTATGTTTCTGTATGTCTGTCCATCCACCCATTCACCCACCTAAGTCTCTATTTATTCCATGTATCCATGTATATGCGTCTATTTACCTATTTACATACCTACTTACCTATTGACCCATCTAGTCCACTGTCTGTCCATTGGCACACACCTACCCATTTATTTCATCTACGTGTCCATCCATTATCTATCCATCTATCTGTCTACCTACCTACCTACCTGTCTATCCACCTGATCATCCATTTATCTACTTCACAAACTAAGTACATACCTACCCACTCATTTGATGGATCCATCCACCTACCTACCACCCACCTACCAATCCGTCCACCTGTTCCCTCTGTCTGTCTGTCTGTCTGCCCATTCGCCCGCTCCCCTGCCTGCTTACTGACTACACACTTACTGATTTATTTGAAGGCTCTGTCCATGGAGCTGTGGATCTGTCTATCAACTCATCGATCACCTTTCCCGTGGCCTAACATGATTGTTCCCATCACGAGTCTGTGGTGTGCGTGAGGCTTGGCTCAGTGCCAAGCACAGGTGGATTGGCCGCTAGTGCCTCGGAACCCGGGTGTTAGGGACATGCACGGCTTTGGGGGCCATGGGGATCCGGATGACTTTGAGTCGTCATTGTGATCCTCAGTGTTATGAAACGTGCTGAGCTCACTGATCTTTTGCCTTGGTAAGATAATGTCCCCCGAAGCTAAGGCTATCATGAGGCCATTTCCTACTTGCAGCAAAGAGAAAGGACCTTTAAAGATCCATCGATTCCAGAATCCAAGTCTCTCGTTCTCAGAATAACTAGTGTTTAACGCTCCTCTTGATTATTTATTATTTTAATTTCTTTTTTTTTGAACTGGAGATTGATCCCAGGGGAACTCTACCCATGAGCGACCTTCCCATCCATTTTTAGTTTTAATTTTGAGACCAAGGTCTCGCTACGTTGCTCAGGAGGGCCTCGAATTTCTGATCCTCTTGCCTCAGCCTCCGCAAGTCTTAAACTAGGGGCTGGGCTTGTGGCTCAGCGGTAGAGCGCTCGCCTAGCATGTTGAGGCACTGCGTTCGATCCTCAGCACCCCGTAAATGTAAAATAAAAGATAATGACGTCCACCTAAAACTAAAAAATAGATATCAAAAAAAATTTTTAAATAGAACCTTCAACTAAATTCAGTTTCCATTCACCTCAGATGAAATGATATACGATTAAATATGCATGGAAAGTCCCCTGTGCAGGTAAATGGGGAAATATCAAAGGACTCCTGAATTCTAAAAACAGTTATTAAACTTAAACTTTAAAAGCAGGGGGGAACCCTAGTTTTTAAGCCATAAATTGCAAGAAGTTTAACAATGTGATACTAAATGGTGAATTTCCATTCTATCAGCAAATTCAGAGTTTGATAAAAATAGAGATACAAAGTAGTAGAGGTTTAAAAAAATGACTGTATCTGCCATATCAACAGGCGATGATTTTAAACCTGGAAGACTCTGCTCCTGAATTATAACATCAATCTAATATAGGACATTTTACTACTGCCGTCTAGTATTTTATCCTAAGATACACTGAATGATTTGAAGTTGTGATATACCTGGATCACTTCCTAATTAACTTCATAGGATATTATATTTTATATTTGTGTTGTAGATCGACTCCCCAAATGGGGGATTTCCACGGAACCTTCCAGAGGGTACTCCTAAAATAAACACCTCGTGTTTTTTTTTTTTCATTTTTAATCTCTCTTCTTGCAATGCTCTGTCCTAGTAGAACCCAGAAAGTGGACAGAAAAATTATTTCTTCTCTGCCTCCGTCTCTTCCTTCCGCTCAGTTTGCAGATATTTTTATGTGGACATATATGTTATGATGGAGATGCGAGATGTCCCCCAAAAGCTCATGTGTGATATGCTACAAGAAAGTTCAGCAGGGAAATAATTGAGTTATGAGAGGTGTAGACTGATCAGTGGATTAATCCACTTGAGTGGACTCACTGGGTGGTGACTGCTGCAGGTGGGGTGTGGCTGGAGGAGGGGTCCCTGGGCTGTGCCTTGGGGGTCTCTGTCCTGTCCCTGGTGGGCAGAGCTCTCTCTGCTCCCTGGTGTAACCTAATAGTGGATTAATCCACTTGGATGGACTCACT